CCCTTTCCACCCTCGCTTCAGATCATTAGCTGTCAGGCAGTGGTGTCCGCCTCCTGGTCACTCCTGCTAATTAAAGTCTAGCAGAGCAAAGGGACTCGACCCCCGCGGGACGTGGGAGACACAGAACAGCCAGGGCAATTTGCCTCTGCGCGCGTCACCCCCATCCACTGCATAGACGGCCAGCCCAAGACCCCACACCCTCACCGGGTAGGGACATTGGCCCATCGGGCACCTCCTATTCTGAGCCTCTGACGCCCCACGGTGGCCCGCGTCAGAAATGCAGGCAGCGTGGACTGCTTTAATAACAGCACAGGTTAACAAGTAACATTTCCCGGAGGGCTTCCTGGATGCCAAGCGCTGGGCTGAGCATCTTGTATCCATTGTCCCAGTTCATTCTTATGGCAACCTCAGGGCAGAGTTCTCTTGATGATTCAGATGAGACCCAAAGCACAGAGAGGTTAAGCCATTTGCTCCAGGTCACACAGCGCTGCTGCAGCCTCCACAAGAGAAACCAATCACCCGCGACAAGTGACGGAGGGTGGACATTTCTCCGCCGCCCAGCAGTGGCACTGAGTGTCCAGTTGGCCCGTGTCTACAAGGAACAAAGTGGGAGTGCTAAGTGAGTTCATTGTCGGGATCGATCAGAACAAGGCACTTAAGAAGGAAGCCAGCATGACGCGGGGCCAAGGAGTCGTGATTTGAGGCAGAGCAGACTTGGTTTCGAATGGCTCCTGCCACTCTGCCAGCTATGTGAACCTTGGCGTTTTCCTCGACTTACCGAGACTCAGTTTCCTCGTCTGTCAACTCGGGAACAATAATGGCACCTGCCTCATAAAGGCGTTCCACGTTGGGAATTTCCCACCCTGCTCTGTGGAGTATTTGTTTTTTGGTGGAATCATTGCGTAAAAGGCAAATGCCCTTAAACAGATTTCTTTGCTCTAGAATTTCTCAGTCTTGATTACGATAGCATCTATTACACATTCTCAGGAGGGAGCGGCATTTCCTGACCCCGGGATCCTTTTTCTGCCAGGAAAGCATATGAGCATCTGTTTTTTGGGACTCTTTAGAAAAGGCTATAAAATGGGTTGTAGGGTATTTGGTGTTTGGTACAGGAATCAGTAAATCTTAACCCCTCTCTTCTTTTCTTTTCTTGAGACTGGCTTTGTTGCCCAGGCTAGAGTGAGTGCCGTGGGGTCAGCCTCGCTCACAGCAACCTCCAACTCCTGGGCTCAAGCGATCCTCCTGCTCAGCTCCGAGGTAGCTGGGATACAGGCATGCGCCACCATGCCCGGCTAATTTTTTCTCTATATGTTAGTTGGCCAATTAATTTCTCTCTATTTTTATTTATTTTTAAATATAGCTTAAATGTACATTTAATGGTTTCTCTCCCATTTCATTTTCTTTCTATTTTTAGTAGAGATGGGTCTCACTCTTGCTCAGGCTGGTTTTGAACTTCTGCGCTCAAAAGATCCTCCACTTCGGCCTCCCAGAGTGCTAGGATTACAGGGGTGAACCATCGCGCCCGGCCTACTCCTCTCTTCTTTACGCCCAAATCATTTCTGTTCTTACCAGAGTTAAGCTCCAAGGAATTAGGGACTGGGTCTGTCTTGTTCCTTTCTGTGTTCCAATGTCTTGACATATCAAGACATTCCATTAAGAACTGATGAGTGAATGAATGAATGAATGGGTAAACTAATGAATGAAATGATACATAAAGCTTAAGGTTGACCTTGCCTGCTCATTGTCGCCAGCATTCTGGTCATTTCCAGTTGCTGGGAGAACTCAAATGCCTCTGGGAAATTCAGTCATGGGGCTGGTTCTGTTGGGCTGCATTTTCCCCTTTCACTTTTTTTTTTTTGACTTGAACAAGGTGGTTTATTTCCTTCTCATGTAAAATTTTGGAAGGATGTTCAGGATTGGTATTTTCCAGTTGATAGAGGTCCCAGGCCTTATCAAGAGGAACCAGTTTCTTCTACCTGGTATCCTTCCAAGCTTACCACATACTTTATCTCTCACATTTCAAGATAAATGTTCTAGGTCCTGTGATCATGGTAATATCTCACTAACAGGAAGAACGAAGACAGAAAGGGAGGACATGCCTTTCCTCTTTTAATTACATGACCCAGAAGTTGTACATATCACTTTGCTCAACACTCTATTGACAAAAGCTACCCATATGGGCATACTGAGCTGCAAGGGAGGCTGGGGAATGTAGTCCTGAGTTAGGTCTAGGGTCAGTCCTAAAAGTTTCTTGACTAAAAAAGAAGAGAAGAAACATACTGGAGAAGAAACTACAGACAGTAAACACTAATTAAAAGAGACAGACCAAATGAAACTATCCTCTATTCCCTAAAGGTTAATTATTTTTGTCTTTCTTTACCCCCATATAATTGTTTTGTTGTCACTACTTATTATTTTTTTTTTTGGATTTTTTTTGGCATATTATGGGGGTACAGATTTTAAGGTTTCAAGAAGGCCATTTCCCCCTCAAAAGTCTGAGTCTCCATCATGACCATCCCCAGATGGTGCACATCTCACATCATTATGTATCTACCCGCCCCCCTCCCCCTCCCACCTGCCCAATACCCTATAACTGTAGTACCTATGTGTCCACTTAGGTGCTGCTCAGTTAATACCAGTTTGCTGGAGAATATATGCTGGTGTTGTTTTCCATCTTGGGAATACTTCACTTAGTAGTATGGGTTCCAGCTCTAACCAGGAAAATATAAGATGTGCTATATCAACACTGAAGACACTGTGTTTCCCACCTGGGCCTATTGGGAAGTGGTGATCAGGATGGACCACTGGTCAGGGGTGCTTCTCTCTATATTTGTTTGGAACGTGATCTCCAACTGGTGTCCTGCGAGCACTATGCAAAAAATAAAAATGTAAGTTTCGGTTAAACAACAGTTGAGTTGGTCCAAGTCTAACAGATTTCTTTACTGCAGGACTTCTCAGAGACTTTGTGCCTTTTCCACACGGCTTTTCCCAGACCCGCCTGACAATCCTTCTACAGCCCTTCCGAAAACTTTTCTTCGGAAGTATCTAGTATTAACGTTCAGCAGAACATCCTTGGGGAAAATTCTGCCTTAGACTATGTAGCCAAATGTTGCGACCTAGTTTTCACGATCTAGGAAACAGACCTTCTCTCTAAAACTATGGAAAGAAGAAGGTAAAGCCATGCTCATTCCTGAACTTAAACAGGGTGCTAAAAATCACAGCATAAAGCCAGATGGATTTTTTATGTGTTTTGTAAAATAAACCAAAGAAGCTTAATTATGATGCTCTAGAAGTATGATTATAAATTTTCTAGTGTCATTTATATTGCATTCATCATATTAGAAATAACTTTTTATGTCATTGCATAGTATAGGTAAAAATCTTTTTTTATGAGCTGGGAGCTTAAAACTTGTGGATAAAAATACATTTTAGAAGAAAGGGACTTAGAAAACTCACATATTTCTTATGCGAGTTGCCAGGGATCAACTCTTGCGCTGTAGTGTGAGAACAGCCATAGACAATATGTGATTGAATGAAAGCCATTGCGTTCCAGTAAGAAAACTCACCTATTTCTTACGCTGCTTTTTGTTGTGAGTTTACATATACGGAAAAAAAGGAATCTTACTTGAATGCGACTGTCCCTTATTAAACTTTTTTGTGAATAAACTAGAACTTGCTGGTTTTAGGCGGACCCAGGAAAGCTTTGCAGGATAATGGTAGGGTTGCTTGGAAATAAAGAGAGAACTTCAGTTTCTAAAACAGGAGTGACCGACGGTGGCCTGCCACCCGTTGCAAATAAAACTTTATTGGGACACAGTGACTCTCGGTCACTCACGTGTCATGTGTGGCCGTTTTTGCACTATGGTGGAGGAGTTGATTGATGGCAACAGAGATCTTATGGCCTCAAAGCTTCACGTTATGATTATATGGCCCTTCACAGAAATGTTCGCTAATGTCTTTCAGAGTCATAGAAAGATGGGAAAAGGATGAAGATTTCATAACCAACCCCCTTATTCTTTAGATGGAAAGCTAAAACCAGAGAAGTTGGGGATAACTTGTCCAGATTTATTTATTCTTGAGTGTGTTTTTTTTTCTCTGAGACAGAGTCTCACTCTGTTTCCCAGGCTAGAGCGCCATGATGTCAGCCTCACTCACAGCAACCTCAAACTCTTGGGCTCAAACGATCCTCTTGCCTCAGCCTTCCAAGTAGCTGGAACTATAGGCTTGCACCATCATACCCAGCTCATTTTTTAAAATATATTTTTAGTTGTCCAATTAATTTCTTTCTATTTTTTTAGTAGAGATGGGGTCTCGCTCTTGCTCAGGCTGGTTTCCAACTCCTGAGCTTGAACGATCCTCCCACCTCAGCCTCCCAGAGTGCTAGGATGACAGGCGTGAGCTACAGTGCCCGGCCTCAGTCTTCTTGAATGTTCTGATGTTTATATCCTAATGTCAGAGAAGATAAGAATAGGTTTCAACTTGGGCACCAACATCAGCTGATTGGAAGGAGCCATGTGGAGGGCTGGCTGGGAAGGTCTCGGGGCTCAGTGAGAAGGAATGCAATGCCTGGCTAACGTCCCACAGTCTGTGTGCACTGAGGGCAGGTCCCGTGTCTGCTCCTGACATTGCTAATGGTTACACGGCCACCTCCTTCCTTGTACATCTGCCATGTAAACACCTTCTTCACTGGGCCAAGACAGAGGTGCCATCTTGGGCCCTCGTTCGAAACACTGCTGCCCAGCATTCCGGAAGCGATGGGTTGTTTCTGTGCAAGGTTGTTCCAACGTCTCTCTTCCCAACTGCCAGCCACGTCACGCTCCGCCTGGAATTAACTTGGGATTTCATTCCCACTGGGTCTTTCAGCGATAAGAATCTGTGTTTTAGTGAGATATGTCCATGACGCATGGAGTTGGGGGGGGCGGGGCGTGGAATGGGAAGTCAGGACTTTGTTGGCTTTTGCGTCCCCAACTGACAGTCCCGATGTGTGTGCTTTTGTGCAGCTGGACAACCCAGACGAGCAGGCCGCCCAGATCAGACGGGAGCTGGATGGGCGTCTCCAGATGGCAGACCAGATAGCCAGGGTAAGCGGACTCTGGGGGTGGTGTTTTCTGGGGACCAAGCTGAAGCCCCCGCTCAGGAAGCGCACTGGCGATCAAGGGCCCCCAAAAGATAAAGTGGAGCAGCCGAGAGGAGGGAAGATGGGGACAGTCACCCTGACTGCACCCTCCACCCTCGTCTCTCAAGCCAAGCTCTCCCCGAGGTGCCACGTGCATTTTCTCCGCTCCAGTGCAAAACCCAAACTCAGGCTTCGCCTTGCTTTTGAGCTCCAGACTCAGATTTCCAACCGTCGACTGAATAGACGTTCCCTGGGCATTTCAGGTTCCGAATCTGGCTGCTTGTCTTCTTCCTCCCACCCCACACGTGACTACAGTTCCACCTCCTCGTGCGTTCTATATCTGGTTACTTCGGATGCAACCTCCGAGTCACTCGCTGACAGTCTCTCCTTCTCTCCACCAGGCCCCACTCTCGCTCAGCCGTCCCAGCCTCCCCGGGCTGCCTCCTCCCTGTGGGGCCAGGATTGCCTCCCTGCTGTCCAGCACCCCTGCCCGGTGCCGTGGCCCAGGCCCTCTTCCCACCCAGCACCTGCGTGTTGTCATGGCCTCCTAGCAGGTATCCCTGGCTCCAGTCTCACCCCCTTCCTTCACCGTCCATCCTGCACGCAGTCGCCATTCTAAAACTCAACGTACGAGCCTCTCAAAGCACAGCCTCGAAATCCTTCAGCAGACTCCCTCATTGTCCCCAAAGCACAGTGACATTCAAGGGTCTTCATCAACAGACTCTCTGTTTCCTTATTAACCTCACACCTCACAATTTTCCCACCAGGATCTCCCACTCCAAGTCTAGAGAACGTCTCCCTGCGAATACGCCCAGCCCTGCCAGGCTCAATGTCATTGTGCCCATTGGTGCCCATTCCACCTGGAATGACCTTTCTTGTCCCCTCCGCTTAGCAAACTCACCTATTCAGCGTTCAGTGCCTGCCTTAAAACTCCATGTCTAGGAGCTTAGCGATCAGTTGGTCCTCCCCACCTTGTGCTCTGGCCATAAAAGTGGACTTTGGTTATAGCAGATCATTGAATGGGATCATTTGTTTACGTGTCTGAGTCTCCCGGTAGATAGAACTCCTTTAGGGTTGAGATCATTTCTTATTGTTGAGATCAGACAACAGCTAAATGTTATCTGCTATGATTGCCATCCCTGCCATTTGTGTTGTTATTATTATTTTTTTTTCTTGAGACAGAGTCTCACTCTGTTGCCCAGGCTAGAGTGAGTGCCGTGGCGTCAGCCTAGCTCACAGCAACCTCAAACTCCTGGGCTCAAGCGATCCTCCTGCCTCAGCCTCCCGAGTAGCTGGGACTACAGGCATGCGCCACCATGCCCGGCTAATTTTTTCTATATATATCTTAGTTGGCCAATTAATTTGTTTCTGTTTTTAGTAGAGACGGGGGTCTCACTCTTGCTCAGGCAGGCCTCGAACTACTGACCTTGAGCGATCCGCCCGCCTTGGCCTCCCAGAGTGCTAAGATTACAGGCGTGAGCCACTGCGCCTGGCCCATTTGTGTTATTATTAATTGCAGTAATGCTGATAGTATTTATTGAGGGCCGATTCTGTGTTAAGCGTGCTAAATGCTTTCCATGCGCCATCTCAGTCAATCCTACAGACAGCCCTCTGAGGACATTCCAGTTTCAGTCTCATTATAGAGAAGGGGAATCCGGGCTGAACATGACAGGCATTAGCAAGGAGGCTGCGCTAGACCCTCAGTGCAAGTCAGTCTAGACCTCAGGCTTGGCCCTGGGCGGAGACACTCACTCCAAGTGCAAAACATAAGGGGACTCCCAGAAGCTCAGCAATCAAAATAAATGATTTTAACTAAAATACTTTTAAATTACAGTTAACACCCCAAAATCCACAAAGTATCAACATTGTAAATAACAACCAGCTCCTACTTGTTCCAACTCTAGCCCCAGATCTCAAGTGCACGTGAGGATAGTGGAGGGTGGGCGTGGCGTGGAGCTTATAAATCCAGCCTTTCTCTCTATGGAGAGAGCCAGGCATTTCACGACTTGGACATATAGGAAGGAATCCCACTGGACGAGAAACCAGAGACAGATTCCAAGAAACACGAAAATCTCCTCTTGTTTGTGCTCAAGCACTTTTGCTGAAATGTTTTGCATCTTGTTTTGTGGACACCTTTGAAGTTTATAGTCAAGTCAGTCTGGTGGCTAAAAATAGTATGCAGCCAGGGATTTGGCTAAAGGTAGTGTAAAAGGTTCTTATGTTTTTAAATCCTGCTTGATGTGGGAGTAAACATTAATAAGCCTTTAGAGTTTACTTCTCTTGTAAACTCAATGTCTCCTATTAAAGGATTATCCACAAAAGGGAGGTCACGTGGTTTATTTTCCTGAGTGTTAGGCAACAGTTACATTTGTAGCTAATAAGTATTCATCTAATCTGAATAAAATCACACATACACACACACACACACTTCAAAAATAAGCTCATGGCACCTTTGTTTTAGTTGCTTTTTTACTTTGGGGCTCAACATGATAATTTAAATCTTGTGTTAGGGTAATTTTAATTTTTAAAAGACCCCAGATGAACAACTGGTATAAATAAGCCAAGATGCTCATGTCTGAACAGGAGATCAAAGAGCCTTCTCCCCCGGCCCACACCACTAACTGTTCGGAAGCTAAGTAAAGTAGGATATTATCAAGTTAGAACTAAGCCTTCTTGGATAATGAAATAGGCAGTTAAAGTGAGTCTTGCTTATTATTTACAGGGAATGGAGAATAATTATAAAATATATGGAGGGTCCCCCCAAACATTTAAGGCATGGAGGATTTCTATGAGTTGAACTGTCCACTACTATCTCCTGTTCTATTAGAAGTTGACTCTCTTCTTACGAAATGTTCTCTCATGCTGTGGCCCGCCTGCCACAGCTGGTTGGTTCTAAAGTGAGCTCTTCTCCCAAGGGGAGCCAATCACAGCCTGCCCTGGCCACAAGTGATTGGTCTAAAAATGGATGCTTGGTGCAAACTAAACCAATGAATCCCTTCCCTGGGACCTGTGGACAGTGGGCCAACAGGGCTGCATCTTCCAGGGGCAGAAAGATGCCTGCAGCCATGTTTAATTTGTCCACATAGGGAAAAGAAGAAGCCAACAAACTCCTTGTCATAGGATAGAAACAGAGGTGGGGAAACTACACTGAGATATCAATGAGTCCTCAGGATGTTTAAGTCCCTAATTCCAGTTATTCCTGAGCTTTAGCTATGTATCTGCTTTTCCCTCAATTTAGTCGGATTCCAAGAAAAATAAATTTTCTGCTTGCCTAAACCAGCCTGGCTAATGCCGAGGAAAATGGCAAAATATCTCATCAACTAAAAATGAAATAAAACATCAAGATCTCAGATATTGGCTAGTTCATGAAGAGATATTGAAACAAACACCTCTGCTTATCTTCTTTTAGCATGCCCCGATTTTTCTATTTCCGGCATCACAGTGAATTTGAGTGAAGATGTGCAATTCACCCCAGATGGCTGAGAGTTAGCTCCTGTAAATATCATAACCAGAAATTCTTGGATAAGCTGTCACCCATCATATATAATTCACTCTGCTCTCTGAATTAAAAGGTGGGTAGAACGCTTTTGATTGTAAATAAGAGACACCAACTCAAGGAAGTTATGCAAAAGATGGGATTGGGATCGAGAAGGATCTCACAGAGCCCCTGGGCGAATTGTAGCCAGAACCCAGGAAAGAACCAGGGACCTCAGAGTGGGCAGGACTACTGTCCATCCACCTCCCATCTCTGCATGTCAGCTTCATCATCTTTTTCTTTTTCTCTGCAAACCAGCTTTCTTTGCTTCTCAAGGGAGAAGCATGCCTATCCCATAGTTCCACATGGTTCTGGTGCGGCCAAGTAGAGAATCATTCCACCAGTCATCCTCCCTCTCAAATCTTCCTCTTCCTCTACCCTGGCCCCTCTTCTCACTACCCCCTTGCAAATTCACAATGCCAAGAATTGGACCTTGGATTGCTTCAAGAGCTAACTCTTGGTGCAATCAACCAATCCACAGTAGAAAAGAGGGTGAGGGTCTCATTGAACACATGGGTGCTGGAGATATATCACCTAGGGGGAAGGTGGGAAGCAGGAAGTCTGAGAGTGGGGTGGTCGTTATGAATTGGGAGACACTGTAGATGCACCGAGTAGTAATGACTATCACTTACCACTTACACAGGGTTGCCCTGTCTGCCAGACTCTCTTCTAAGCATTGTACATTTGAGAGTCTATCTCACCATCCAACAACCTTATGAGAATGCCACTATCATTATCCTCCCGTTTTGTAGAGGAGGAAGCTGAAGCAGAGACATTAGAGGACTTGGCCATAATCACTCAATGACCAGAATCTGGACTCTCCACCAGTCTGCATGCTACTCTTGCAAAATACCTTCCCAAACACAGGTCCCCATTTTCCTCCTCATCCCAACCCAAGGATCCATTTTTCACCCAGACTTTCACCTCCCCTCATCCTGACCACTATCTCTACTAATCAGTCCTTTATTAAATGTGCCAGGCTCTGGCCGTGCAGTTTCACATAAACTCTCATTTAGACCTGTGACGGACCATCCTCGGAGTTACATTGATTCTCCCACTTTAGGCAAATCAAAGGGTCTCAGTGATATATACCCAAGTTCACTCAGCTGGTGAGTGGAAAGCTGAGTCCTCTAATTCTCAGTTTCATGCATGTTTCCATGCTTTTGAGCATGTTTCCATGCTTTTGAGCATGTTTCTCAAAGCATGTTTCCATGCTTTTGAGCAATCGGATGACAGGCAGGAAGCTACCCCAAGCCAGGATTGCCCTCCACCCCATTCCTCTCTTCCCGATGGTTGCCCCCTCCTGGAAACTGCTTCCTTTGCTCCACTAAAAGTTTATCTGGAAGCCCAAGTGAAGCAACAGAGTTCAGCAGAACTGGCTCCTGGAATTCAGGATCCTCTCTACCTTGCTTTTCCTGGAACCTGGAATC